AAGTGGAAAGAAAAACCTAATAATAGTGATAACAAACCATTTGTTTATATTTATCCGTTCTGGAGAGTCATTAAAAAGGCGATGACATTTCTTCCCTCTCTTGTGGATTCCACAGCTATAAGCTAAGCCACAATCGACCAAATAAAGGTAATGATAACAATATAGGAATATACATATATATTACAGTTAGTTTGTATTTTCCCCTTGAGACTGAATTTTACATTGGAGCGAAATACCTGTCGCATGTCGACTTTATGGGCTACTGATACGGATACTTCAACGATGATTATTATATTTTTTATTTTATTTTTTTTATTTTGATTTTTTATTTTGATTTACAGCTTGATTCCACACCGTATTTTCAGTACAAGTGTGGGATTTTCAGCATGGATATCGGTAGCCCAAATTCAGGCCGACCATAGATATCGGGTAAGCGCCGGCAGGGGATCGAACCCCGCACCATGTGCATGGTCGGCGACAGTCCTAACCACTGTGCCATAGGGCTTCAACAGCATGTCTTCAATTCGTTCTATCCCCTGAAGGTCCTCTTTAGTTGGCCCCACGATTGACCGTAATCTCTCATCTCTTACATGTCACCCGCAGACCAGAGCCCAAGTCGTCATTTCCCATTCGTGTTCCACTCGAATGATGGCCTGTACTGCACGCGATGTCATTCGACGGTCTCCTCAGTGGTGAGTGACCAATCCATCTTCATTTTCTTCTACATTTTTCTTGAGCGGTAGGTTCTTGATTGGTTTGTTCCCAGAGTCTCTTGTTACTAATTCTATCTGGCCAACCGGCCATTTGATCTTCAATATGGAGCCAGCCAGCTAGCCACTGAAGGTGGCAGCTGTTGGTAAAAGTCTACAGGGATCTGTTGGAAATGCTTTTGGTGACGTGTGTGTCAAGCTTCTGAGCCATATAGAAGCATTGACTGACTAACTGACTGACTTAACAGTTGTGTTGAGAATTCGGATTTTGTTGTTTATGTTTGCTGAGTGCAGACGATTTACAGAATGATTTCTGAGTGATGGGGGTGTACTTTGCTTTGCCTTTGGGATGCTGACTGGTTTTGATATCTTCAACCGTCTCGAGTGCATGCAGTTGGAAGGATGCTTCCTGACGGGATATGTGAAGTAAGTGACGTCTTTTAGATTTCTTCCGTCGTTGGTGATTGGTGCTGGTTGTTGTTGGTCGGTGGGTGTCTTCTCTACGTTCATCAGAAGTCCTGTCTTCCTGCTGATGCTGGATTCAACATAGAACTTGGCACCGAAGTGCAGTAGTTCGAGTTGCCACGTTCCAAAGAGCACACGAAGGTAGACAAAAAAATGAGTGGAGAGAATCAATAGAGTTTTGACAAGTAAAAGGGTGAAACAGAATGAGTAATGGTAGAAAGGAATGTGAGAGATTACAGAGACTGAATACATCTGCGTAAGCCATTGACAACGATTTTGAGCCATGTCACCTATTGTCTCCAGCCATTGATTCTTAGAGTCCCGAGGGCCCCAACCAGGAAGTCTGCATCTCTCTACCTGACTCAGTTTAACGGTCAAGGATTTCATGGATTGATGATGCCATGTTTTTGTTTGGCCACCACTTACTCTTTTCCAACCTGCACCTATATCAGCTAGTAATGCCTGTCGGGGGAGGCGATGGTGGCCTGTCCTGTCTTCCACAATGCATAAAGGTAAACCAACTATGTTACTTCGGTTGATGATGATGGTTGATAACGGTAGAGGCCAGAATGAAAATTTCGTCTAACTTGGGAAATGTCAGCTAAATGGAACATCATCCCTTCTGATACATGAAAGACCTCCCTTGCTTAACTGTTTCTAACCACAATAAACTTTTGCATGTATTTGATTGGTCTAATGACAGATTATATCATAAGTCGATATTAGTGAGAGAATTATTGAAAAAAAAATACCAGTGTCATCGAGATTTCAGACATTCTCTAAGAGATGTGAATTCGTAGCAAAATCTTTATCATCTTTCACCTTTCAATTAACGACTATTAGTTGTAATTTTTCTGTTTGTTTGTAGCAAAGAATAAGACAAAGTCTCTGTAGTACTGTTGCATAAGGAAGGAATCTCAAAGGCCCTGCGTAGGATTCTTAATGAGGCTGGATTTAAGGTGGCAATAAAACCATCCAAACTCCCTCACAGATAAACTTTGTCGGCTTACTGACCCAATAGATTCAATCAAGAAGAAAAATAATAAAATTTAACAAATATCATGCCATGACTGTGGGGTCAGTTACATCATAGATTGAACTAATAGATCTGGGTCAATTAGATTATTTGAACATAAAAATTTAACTAGATGTAAAATAATTGACCCTGGTAGGTTGAATAACCCTAACCATTGCATTGCATTCGCTTGCATGTAATCACACAGTAGGGTGTGTGGGACAGGGTGAGAGTATTAAAAAGTAGCAGAGTTAGGTGGAGAAAGAGAGAAGTTCTACAGCACTCAATACAGCACAAAGGCAAAGAGATTATTGTCAAATCAGCAAGCGCTTCTACCACATATACTTCAGAAAATTGACGTGCGCTTCACAAAAAAGCATTTTTAACAGTCTCCTGGTTCCTATCATCAATAATATATCCATTAGCTGACGAGTCCCCCGAATAGGACGAGTTAAACAATGAATATTAGACGTAAAACGAAACAAAAAGCGAATTAAGTGAAAGCAAAATGAAAGTGTTGGTGTGTCTGTCTGTCTATGTATCTACCTGTCTAGCTGTTTTTCCGTCTGTATATCTATCTATCTACCTATTATTCTCATGACATTTGCGTCTACTACGTGTGAACATACCACCAACAGCCAACACAAACATACACACACACACTGAATGACAGAAAGACAGACATCTACACACTGGTCCACCCACGCACACACAGGTATAAACAGAGACACACACACAATATAGACACACAGCAAAATGCTTTTTTAATTCATTTCAATCGTAGGTAGAAAAGTTAAATGCAGGTGCTAATGCAAAATGAGAAAGCAATTAAAATCGAAAGGAAAATAAATAAATAAATAATAATAATTATTTTTCTATTGAATACATCAGATAAGATGAGGAAATAAAAATTAAGATATATTTTTAGAAATTGTGTACTTATGGAGAGTAATCCACTTCGGAGAAAAACAAACTATTATTCTATTCTAACCACAAAACAGCGATAAATAAATAACATAAAGTAAAATAAATAAATAAATAACATTTTATCTAAATATGTGGCGGCAACATGAATGTTCGTCTCTTGTTAACCAGTCCTATTTTTTGCTTGTTTTCACATTTTATTAAAACCCGCATAGAGAGGAAGGAAAAAGGGGGAATAAAGGAGATAAAAAGGAGGTGGGTGGGGAGAGGGAGGGTTTTATTTTATTTATATGGCGAGAAAAACACGCACGCACGCACACATACACACACACAATCACAGAACAACACTCTTCCTTTCTGTGTTTCTTCTCTAAAGAGTGAATTATTGATTTTGATAATTGTAAAATTAGACAACAATTATAGATAAGCAAATAACTGATGATATATGGATAATACAGATGATATCTAAGCTCAATCACACACACACACGCACACACGAATGGCGATAAGTAATAAGAGATAAACATATGTTGATTGACGAATAGAATATTGAAAATAGAGAAGGCATAACGAGACGTAGAGGTGGGGTGGTAAATTAAGAAAAACAATTTAAAAAACGAGAAGTAGTATTTTTATTTCTATAATCATTATATCTGTGGGCAGAAGTATACACGCGATTGTCGTGTTCCTAATAAATTCATTAAAAAAAATAGACTGAAGTCTTTGAAGTTTCGGTAGCGTGTCTCGAGGTTGGTAGCCCAAACTTCTTCCTTTACCGGATTGATGACCAGCTTATACGCAAGGTTTCAGGGTGCGTCATCTGAGACTCGAAACTGAAGACCACATAAGCTGGGGTCCAGGCAATCGAGAGCTTCATTCTACTTAGAATTAGATGGATGCACATGCATAACCATTGAGTGATGGTCTTTCCACTGACTCATCGTTTCAAACGCCCAGATATTAACCACTGCGTTATCGAGCCACGACGGCGACACAGTATCTGTCTCCAAAGCCTCAGGATGGTCGGGGGTGGGTGCCTTGCGCTGCGGGTCGGCCACCCCTCCGCACGCCTCTTGAAATGCTCCCATATGACCGGGCGTCTTACATATCCCGTAGTGGAAGTGTTTTTCACCAAAGTGAGAGGGCGAAAGCGGATGCCCGGCGCTCTTCACCGGGTTGACTGTCCATTGGATGATAGTCTAGGGGAGATGGCTAAACCCTGATTCCAAACCTCCAACGACTGGCGTATGAAGCTCACTGGAGCTCACCGGCAGACGTATTGACAAAGGGCTTGTTGCATGTCCTGACCCCATTCAAAAGGCGTATGAACCGAACTCCGGTCACCGGCTGCCAATAGATAGTGGACTCCCTACTCCACTCCTACTCCCTTGCAGGTCACAATTGGTTGTGTAAAGGCTAGAGCTGCACTCTCAAACAAAAGGCCGAGCGATTCTGGGGACATCACTCGTACCAAATTCCCATGAAACTTCATGAACTCTCTTCATCAGATCGCCGCGCCTGGGCAGCGATGATTCGAGATGTTCATGAAGCCGGCTCATCCTCCCGTAGGAGATAGCCGAAGTAAAGTAAAGTAAGTAAGACACAGTATGCAATAGGTATTATTTGAAAAACGAAACGCGCTTTTGTGATTCCAATGTCATCTACTACAAACACAAGGAACTTCCAGTTGATAACCGTAGTAGTAATAGAGGCATCTGTCCAAGAAGCCCATGTGTCGACCAATTCAATGCACAAAATATCAACGGGTTATCATCAGTATGGAGAAATAATTAAACATATATACATATAAAAAAATAAGCAATAGGCTGACTAGGTAAACAGTATATACATACATACATAAATATACATAGATATATACTACTTACCTTAGGAAGTAAATTAGTAGTATTGTAATCCTTATTTATTGTTTCATTCAATGTTATCTGATTTAATAAATTATTGTTTTGTTGATTATGCTGTAACTGTTGAATAGACGCAGTTGTAGTAGTTGTAGGCATCTGATTCATAGAAGTAATGGGATATAATAAGTTACCATGGTTATTATTATTATTCCCAATGGATTTCATTTGAACAGATCGATTTAAACCCATAATTGGACGTGAATTTGAATGGAGTTTTGATACTGTTGATGATGATAATAATGAAACGTCGTCATTTAACATTCCCGGTATTTTTGTTGTTGTTGTTGTATTTAGCATAGGTGTTGAATTCATTGGAGAGGATATAGGGGTTGTTGCATTTACTGTCGGTGAGGATTTTGTACACACGATATCACCTAATTGACTGTCATTTGTCATATTATTATTGTTATAATTGTTGTCTTGTTCAAGACAATTCAATTGTGTTTTCTGCATACTTGATAGAACTGTTTCATAATTGATTAACTGAAAAAAAAATTAGTAAAGAAAACAAAAGGAAATAATGGTAATAGTCATAGTGTGGTACTGACGTGTACTACTGACGAGATTTATCAGTAACATATGAAGAGACGCTTATCAGCACCAAAAAATACCGAATAGCGCAGAGATCGATTTGACGTGAACGAGAGCAAATGAACCAGTTTTGAGGCGAAATATGGGAGACACGAAAAGAAGACCAAAAAAAAAAAACAATATGCAGGATAGAAATAGCACAAAATGGAAGATCTGTGGAAGTGGTGATTTTCATCCAAAAGGTGTACGTAATTTCCCTACATGCCTATGTTAAACTGCTAATAAACATTCCGTTACCAAAACTATTGTCTTCTCCCGTTACAATAGTAACAGTGTATTAAGAAATAAATAGATTACTATTACCATTATTATGCGTTCAGCAGTACTGTCACCTTTACCTTTTTCCACGGCTGAAAACAAGCTTTTATTCCAACCCCACCCCTTATCCCAGATGATGTTTTGCATTTGACTCTTGAACATCCAACTTATCACCACATTGGTGGTCATTCACGCAGTCTTCTGTTTAAACCTCCCCCCCCCTTTCACATAGTGTAAATTAGCTTATCTCTTGTTTCTATGATTTTATTACCACTGTAAGTATACATTGAATTTTTGTTTAAACTTTAACTGTCTGCAGTGTAAAAAATATATGTGTAATTTCGTGAATACTTTTCGTTAAGTTTGGAGTCTCCTGTCATTAACTGACAGCGTGAAAGATTTGCAAGTATGTTAAAATTGTTCTGTATATAAACTTGATAATTTCTTCAGGCTGCACACAGCTGATGAGAAGTCAACGAAATAAGCAATGATGGTACCATCTGCACAAACTGTTGTTCTTGCTTTATTCAAGTTCATCACTGCTCATCTAGCTTCCACTAAAGAGCGAGACATGCGGTGCATCCTGAAGGTCTCCACAGACTATATCCAATTCATTCTTATTCCCTTCTGACTATTTGTTGGGTAATAGGAAGCTGGATAGTTCTTTGGCAGAGTTCCTCAATTCTTATCCTTTCTGGTTGATCATCCGATCTTCAGCATGGAAGCAGTGAAGGCATCTGTCGATGAAGATCTGCTGTAGCCTGTTGGAAATGCTTTTGATAAGGCGTGTGCCAAGTTTCTAAATCATATAGAAGGACTTATTAACTTGACAATAATCTTGAAAATTCAGACCTCTTTGTTTTTATGTTAAGTTCTGTAGAACTCCAAATCGATTTCAGCGTAATGAACGCTTGTCTTACTTTCCTGATTCTGGCTTTGAATCGTTGCTGCCAGTGTAAGTGAAAGAGACGATTTCCTAAAGATTCCTGCTATCAGTGTCAGTGAACATTTAGGAATGAGCAACATATACTTTGTTTATTCGAACTGACCTTCATTTTGGCGGGAGACAATAATGCGGGCCATGGCCTAATCTTACACTGTTTGGCAGAAGACTGGGGAAAAAGAATATCGGAAGTATTATTGTGATATATGCTGATGTTTATTCATAGACTTTGTGCTATAGTAACCTTGTAGTCCTCGTTCATTGTTGGTGAAGAAATAAACAATGCTCGAATCGTTAATTTGTTTTTTAAGTATTGATTTTTGTAGGGATTTTGTTTGATTGATTGGAGGATTTCATAATAAGCTGACATCAGTTCGAGCCCCGATAGGTGCGTACTGATGAAGAGTCCCAAACTAGGACGAAACAACTGTCAAGTACTGCCAGGTTTTCCAGTGGTTCTCTAACTGATGTCAGCTCATGATGAAATCCTCCAACCGATTTGTTTTTTGTTGTTGATATTTTCAGGTCGGTTACTGCATATAGTATTTGAGGCAGCGATTAATTTTCTGCCAGCAGTGTTAGGTACAGGATATTTTGCGATTTGGACAGTTGACAGCTCTCCCACTGATAGTGGCTAGTATTTGTTGTTGGCCAGGTACTTTTTATCACTTTTTGGTTGTAAATCTTTAAGTTCGAGTGACATGAGACATAAACCATCCGCGAAACAGAAAACACCCAGATATTATAGATGGATTTAGATACGGGACCACGTTGGTCATTGAATGTCTGAAAACGCAACAAAATCGACATGTTTTTTACAATGATTCTCTACTTGATATCGGCTTATGATGAAATCTCTCATGGAACTAATTAAATACTCAAAAAGGCTTATTTTGGTTGGGAACAGTTACGCAAGGAAGGCTTTCCGTGTATCAGGATATCAACAGGCTGATGATGATACTACCCGATTCCACATAGTGAATTAGGTAGGTAGTAGTTCAAACACCAAAATCGCTTAGCTATAGGTCGACTGTTTATACCAATGAAGCACATCTGTATACATAAAGGCAACACTAGAAAGTGGACATTATTGGTTAAAGACGAATTCACATGAATAAAATTTAGTATAAGCACCTCTCTACATTACTGATGAAGACTGACTAAGTTTCAATACAGAACTTTCTACAGACGTGGTAATAGTTCAAGTTGCAACACCCCCTGTAACACACACAAAAGTGGATAAAAGGGATTTAAAAGTGCTGTAATACACAAAAATGTGAGTGAGAAAGAAGAGTAACGTGGGGAAAACATGAAGACTTTTGGGATCTTGGAGGTTATAAAGGGAGTAAATGCATCGGAGCTATTGAGAACTATTTTGAGCTATATCATCAATTGTCTCCAGCCATTGGTTCTTAGAATTCTGGCTATCCAAGCCAGGCAATCTACACCTCACTACCTGACTGATTCATACCTATTGTCAAAGACTTCATGAATTGATTCTACGTTTTCATTTGACCACGTCTAACTCTCCACTAACCTGATCCTTTGTTAGCTAACATTGTTCTAAGAGGAAGGAGGTGACTCAGTGTGCACAGAACGTGTCCTAAGAATCCTAATCAATGTAGCTTCACTACCTTATGGACTGACTTGCCCTCCTTATCCAATTCTCTACGTCTAACATGAATTTTACTCATCAGGTTGTATCACCTAAGATGGGAGATAGAATGTAAACGCCTTGCTTACTCTCCCCAGTCATCTAGCAAAAATAAGATTGTCCAGTTTTTGGAAATTATTCAGCTTAAAACAATCGTTTCTATTCTGTTACATGTTTTGATAAAAAACAATTTTGATTGATTTTTAAGATATACTTACTAGGGATTAACTCTGAAGGTTTATTTCGACATATTTTAATCGATTAATATCACCCTGCGTGGTTAAGTAAAAGAGAAATAAAATCCATTCGTAGCGCTATTCTATCTTATCTTGTGGATACAGAACACAAGATTGATGTTAACGAGACGACCTTCAACGTCATTTACCTCATACCAACTAATCTTAACTTCGGTCGGTCGGTTTTCAACATAGAACTTTGCACATATGTGCGGCAGTTCAAGTCGCCACACTTTCTCCATACAGCACACAAAGCAAGAGAAGAAAGTAGGAGAAAAATATTAAAATATTAAAATCATCCCTGTACCCAAGTCAGGCTCTGGAAATAATGCTAAGTTTAGACCTATCGCTATTACCTCTCCTTTTTTGAAACTAATGGAGAAACTATTGTTACTAAAACTTGTTCCCTCCCTAAGTTTCTCAAACGATCCAAAGCGGTTTGCTTACAAACAGGGTAGAAGTACTTTGGACGCTGCTGCTATGTTTCATCACAACATTGTATCCTCCTTAGACAAAGGGGCCAAGTTTGTCCGTTGTACGTTCCTTGATTATACATCTGCTTTCGACTCTGTACCTAGAGGCCTATTGTTAAACAAGCTTAGCCTTACACAAACTGAGCCCTGGGCTATCAACTGGCTACACTCTTACTTCTCTAATAGGATGCAGTACACGGTATATAATGGCGTATCTTCCTCTCCTTTGCTTACTGAAGCTGGAGTTCCTCAGGGTGCTGTTCTTTCTCCGTTTCTCTTTTCCTTCTTCTTACATGGTTTACCTCTCTCAGATGAAATCAACTCCGTCAAATATGCAGATGACCTGTCTGTATCGTTTCCCATTAAGTCTAAGTCAGACTGTTTCAAATTAAATAGCTTCCTGTTGGACATCAGTGAGTGGTCCAAACTAAATGGTCTCATGCTGAATCCCTCAAAATGCCAGACTATTGACTTCTCCCTTAGGCATAAACGAGATCTACAAATACTAGTAAGTTCTCATGAAGACTGTTGCATTGAGGGGAAACCTGAAACCTGATTTATGTGTTCAGAAAGTAGCAATTAAACAGTCTTTCCTTAACATCCTGGTGAATAGGCGTCTTTATTGTCTTTTTTATTTGATTACGTAACGCTGAAAATTCCATTCTGTATGATTATTATTTTTTTCTTTTCTTTTTTCCTTCACGTTTCCCAGTGGAACATAGGGCTTCAAGCTAGGGGCCTGAAGTTTCTCTAGCAGTGTTTATTTTTACAGGATGGCGTCGCTAGCCTCATGCTCAACCTTTCCTCTTTCCTAGCTTTTACTACTGGCTTGGCGAGGTAAAGGAGGGTGTCGGCCGGGGATCGAACCCCAGACCATGTGTATGGTCGGCGAGCGTCCTAACCGCTATACCACCGACGCACGTCTTTAGATGTTAGTATAACAGAATTACTGAAACATTATACCCTCGAAAGTAATAATAATCCCTTTGGGCTGTAAGCAGTTGACTAATAAGAAATCAAGGAGGTAAGCAATGATAGTCGCATTTTATTGTACACAAACCGCTGTTGTTCTTTTTTTTAAACATATTAATCCAAGGGGAGTAAGTGTATGAAGTTTCTGAGAACAAACCTTCATTTCTTGTTCCTGACTAAAAAAAAGAAAGAAAGAAGCGTCTAAATTAAAATAAGACAGTTTTGCTTTGCTTCCTTATCATTAATTAATTAATGAAATAATCCAGGGGATGTGATAGAATGGAATGATGTGAAAGAAAGAGGCGAGAAAAGTCAATTTAGGCAATAATGAACAAAGAGACAGAAAAAGAACTGAA